CGCTGTGGAATGGGGGTCAAGAGCAGGGCGAGGAGGGAAAGGGGGGCTCCGAGGGCTGCCCAGCCCCCTCTAATCCCTTGAGCCGCCAGAAATAACCGCGGATTATCCGGAGGGGACCCGCAGCCCCTTGCTTGGGGCGAGGAAGGCTGACCCCTTCCGTGCATCATGGCCACCCCAGTGCCCCAGAGTCCCAGTTCCTCCCCTGGGTACCCCATGTACCCAAACACCCTTTCTCCCCCCCTCCAAAAAAACTCCAGTTACAAACCTCCAGACCTGCTGGGGAGACCCACCCCACACCCAGACCCCTACCCTGAGTGGGTTTAAAGCAGTGGGGACATCTTTCTGCTTCCTTTCCAAGCGGGGTGACATACCTGCTTGGGGCACCGCTGGGCCTCTGGACTCGGGATATCTTCCTCATGCCCACTGAGGGTGGCAAAGGAATCAGCCTGTCTCCTGCCCCTCCTCCGCCCACCACCTCCAGCTCCTCCACCTGGGATTCCCCCCCCACCCCCTCGGGGTTCGGGTAGACAGGGGTGGGGGGCTTCCAGACCTGTCAGAGGCCCACACCTCTCGGAGGGTGTCCTCCTGCAGCGGCATGGTGCCCTGGCGCTGTACCCCCTTCTCTGCAGGTCTAGGAGCCTTCCTTCCACTCCAGCTAATCCCGGCTCAACTTGGCCCCCACCTCCCTGGCTCGGGGGGGTGGAGGCCCGGCAGCCCTGCGGAAAGGTGTTACAGCCAGCGACCCTCCCCTCCCCCACTGGACCAGGGCCCACTAGGGAAGAATCTGAGTCCCAAGTTCCTCTCAGACCCCCAGCAGCCTCAAGGATGGTGGTACCAGCCCTGCCTGGGCCCGGAGGCTTTGGGTTACAGGCGCCCATTTGGAACTCCTCAGCGGTCAGTCTGGTGTGAGGGGCCAGGCGTGGTGGCTCATGCCTATAATCCCAGCGCTTTGGGAGGCCAAGGCAGGAAAATTGCTTGAGGCCAGGAGTTGGAGACCAGCCTAGGCAACACAGAGAGACTCTGTCTCTACACAAAATGTAAAAATTAGCGAGGCGTGGTGGCACATGCCTGTAGTCCCAACTATTCAGGAGGCTGAGATGGGAGGATAGTTTTAAGAGAATCAAATGAAGTGAAGAATACACTCGTTCAAAAACTGAATCTCAAGCATGTGTCAGGTTGTGTTGTATATGCTGGGCAGACAGAGAAAGTGGAGTGCTCTGAAAAGCGGCACACAATGACTAATTATTGAGTGCCCACTGTTTGCAGCTTGCCACCTGTCATCTCGTTTAACCTGCACAGTATCACTCCCAGGTCGGTATGACGACCACATTCGTTTTTGCAAACAGGGAAAAATGGTTCAGAGGTCTGAGTAATTCAGCCAAGGATGTCCAGTTCTTCAGTGGCAGGATTTGTAGCTTGGGCTCAGGGCTGACTGTGCCTCAGATGACATGTCCCTCCTGAAGCCACACACCTTTGAACACACCGGGCTGTTCCCAACCTACAGACTTCTGTCTTGATGTTCCCTTTTCAGCCTACTTTTTTTTCTGGCCTGTGCAACTTCTACATGGTTTTTATTTAATTATTTATTTATTTTGAGTCAGGTTCTCACTCTGTCGCCCAGGCTGGAGTGCAGCGGTACGATCACAGCTCACTGTAGCCTTGACCTCCTGGACTCAGGCAATCCTTCTACCTCAGCCTCCTGAGAGGCTGGGGCTACAGGAGTGTATTGCTATGCTATGCCTGGCTTTTTTTTTTTTTTTTTTTTTGTAGAAACGAGGTTTCACCATATTGCCCAGACTGATCTCAAGCAATCTGCCCACCTCAGTCTCCCAAAGTGCTGGGATTACATGTGTGAGTCACCACATCTGGGTTCATCTTTCAAATTTTAAATCAAGCTTCTGAAAACTTCTGGGACCCCTGGTTGAACCCTTCCCCTGGGTGTCCTCAGCACTTAACCAAACTTCTCTTGTGACACTAATCACACTAACAAGCCAGGCATGGTGGTTCACGCCTGTAATCCCAGCACTTTGGGAGGTTGAGGCGTGAGGATTGCCTCAGTCCACTGTTTTCCATAAGGGTCCAGACTGGACCCAATGGCTTGTGCCTGTAATCCCATTTTGGAAGGCTGAGGCGAGACGATTGCTTGAGGCCAGGGGTTTGAGGCCAGTCTGGGCAACACAGTGAGACTTCGTCTCAGAAAGAAAGAAAGAGAGAGAGAGAGAGAGAGAGAGAGGAAGGGAGGGAGTAGACCTAGTGACACCCACTACTTGGGAGGCTAAGGCAGAAGGATCACCTGAGCCCAGGAGGTTGAGGCTGAATTGAGGCTGCAGTGAGCTGTGATCACACCACTACACTCCAGCCTGGGTGATAAAATGTGATCCCCAACTCAAAAAAAAAAAAAAAAAAAAA